CTGGGCGCTCTGGCAAGCGCCTGTAGTCCCAGCTACCCCGGAGGCTGAGGCAGAAGGATCCCTCACAGGCCAGGACCTGGAGTCTGCAGTGACCCACCCTCACTGCACTCTACCCAGGATGCCGAGCGACACTCTCTCCACAAAAAAACAAAACAAAACAAAAAAACATGGATACAAGTATCTGTTTAAGTCCCTGGTTATTTTTGTTTTGTTTTAGAGACGGGGTCCTGCTCTTTCACCCAATCTGCAGTGCAGTGGTCCAGTGAAAGCTCATTGTAACCTCAAATTCCTGGGCTCAAAAGATCCTCCTGCCTCAGCCTCTCGGGTAGCTAAGACTACAGGCGTGCACCACCACCACTTGACTAATTTTTCTTTTCTTTTTTCTTTCTTGTAGAAATGGAGTCTCACTATGTTGCCCAGGCTGGCCTGGAACTCCTGCTCTCAAGCGATTCTCTTACCTCGGCCTCCTAAAGTGCTGGGATTATAGGCTTGAGCCACCGTGCCCAGCCTGTCTATGTTTTTAATTCTATTAGGTAAATGTCTAGGAGTGGATTTGCTGGAACATATGGTAATTCTATATTTAACATTTTATGAACTGCCAAACTATTTTCCACAGAGGCCATACCATTTTACATTCCTACCAGCATACGTGAGAATTTCAGTTTCACCAACACTTGGGACCCTTGTCAAAAATCAGTTGACCATACATGTGTGAGATTATTTCTGGACACTCAATTCTATTCTATTAATCTATATGTCTTTCCTTGTGCCAATACCACACTGTGTTGATTACTGCTGCTTTGCAGTCTTCCTATTTTGTTTTTCTTAATTTTTATTATTTTTAAAGATTGTTTTGACTATTCTGGGTCCCTTACAATTCCATACGAACTTTAGAATCAGCTTGTCAATTTCTATAAAGAAGTCATCTGGGATTCTGATGAGGATTGCATTGAATTAGAAGATCAATTGGATACATTGCCATCTTAACAATGTTACGTTTTTTGACCCATAAACATAGGATGTTTTCCCAATTATTTAGATCTTCTTTAATTTCTTTCAACAATGTTTACTAGTTTTCTAAGTTTTACACTTCTTTTCTTAAATATATTTCTAAGTATTTTGTTCTTTTTGATGCTATCATAAATGGAATTGTTTTCTGAATTTCATTTTTGGGTTGTTCATTGCATGTATAGAAATATAATTGATTTTTTTTATCTTATATCCTGCATCCTTGCTGAATTTGTTTATTAGTTCTAATAGTTTTCAGTGGATTCCTTAGGATTTTGCATACACAAGATCATGCATCTGTGAAGAGACAGTTGTGTCTGCCTTTCCAGTCTGGATTTCTTTTATCTGTATTTCTTGCCTAACTGCCCTGGCTAAGACCTCCAGTACAATGTCAAATAGGAATTGCTAGAGCGGACATCCTTATCTTGTCTTTGTCTTGTTTCCTGGGGGAAGCATCTGGCCTTTCACGGTCAAGTGTGATGTTAGCTGTGGGTTTTTCATAGATGCTTCCCTTTCAGGTTGACATCCTCGACTCGACAGGCTGACTGCTTTGTAAATAAAGTTTTATTGGAACATACCCATGCCATCTGTTTATGCATTGCCTATGGCTGCTTTGCGCTATAGTGACAGACTCAGGAGTTGTGACAGAGATCGCATGGCATGTAAATCTAAAATATTTAGTATCTGGCCCTTTAAGAAAAAGTCTGCTGACATCTGTTTTAAGCCACTAAATTTTGGGACAGTTTGCTACGGGGCAATCTATAACTAAAAGAACTCCCAGTCTTAGACTGAAACCCCAACGAGAGTAAGGAGGAACCATAAATAAATAAACTTGTTCATAGACTGTAGCCCAGCTTCAAGTCATTTGGGTGGCTCAGAAAGTCTGGAGTCCTGAAATTGGGTTAAGGTGATCACAGACTGCTAACATCCCTAGATGCCTGGCAGAAACAAATGGAAATCCTTCCAGAGGAAGATATTATCATCGTTACCTCAAGTGATTTTTTAAAATACAATGGCTAAAGCATAGCCAGGTACATGAGGAGATAAAACAAGAGGAAGAAACAGGAATAAAAACTGACAATGGCAGCAGACCCACAGGACTGCAGAATAGAACTTTCAGATACAGATCATAAAACAACCATACTTACCATGTTTAAGGAGAGAAAAGACAACCGTAAGACTTATGGCAGGGCACTAGGGGATATAAGAAGTGGCATAGCAGATTTGAAAAAGAACCAAATACAAATTCTAGAACTAAAAAATAGAATAACCAAATGGAGCTCAATGTTTGAGTTCAAGAGGAGAATTTGTTTTTAAAGCTGAAAACAGAATTAGTGAACTAAAAAAACATCAGAAGAAACTTTATTAGAACAAAGCATGGAAGGACAAAAGATAGAAAATTTAGAAGAAAGGGATGAAGTGAGAAGGTCTAATGTGTTTCATTTGGAGCCCCAGAAAAAAAGAGGAAACAGACAGAAATAGTATTTGAACATGTATTGGCAGATAATTGTTCAAAACTGATGAAAAACTATTTAAAAGGTGATAGAAAGCCATGAAATGACAGATGTCCACTCTACCACGTGCTCTGACTCCTGAAACAGTATATTGGGAACATACAACGCTGCCTGTGGAAAGACTTGGAAGCCGAGATGGAGGTGGCTTCATAGTGAGTGGAAAGGGCTTGGGTGGGCTGGGTTCCAGAACGAGCTCCGCCCCTTCCTAGCTGTGCCACCTGGGCAAAGTTGCCAAACTTCAGTTTTCTCAATAAATGAGGATAAAGAGTAATATGGACCTACCTCTCACTGCTATTGTGAGACAGTCCTGTGATAAAATGCATGTGAACAAACCTAGTGAATGCCACGTGCTTTAAAACTGAGACGTGGTTTGAGCAATGCCACAAGCATGCCCAGGGCCACATAATTTACAGGGCCCAGTGCAAAATGAAAATGCAGGGCACCTTGTTCAAAAATTACTAAGACAGGGACAGCAGAGCATTAAACCAAGCACAGGGCCCTTGTATAAGTAGCTGCTTAGGTTACACGCCCATGAAGCCAGCGTTGGTGACAGGCCCTGCAAGGAACTGTTCTGCACGTTAGGAAAGGGCTGCTCATCCCACACCCAGGTGTCCACAGCCATGGCCCACATCATCTTTGAATTCTGAAAGGCAGCAATGTTTAGGGAAAATGCAAGCATGTGTGTTTCCAAATGCCAAGAAGGGCAAGTGTAGTGACTGGAGTGGTTTTCGGGGGGAGTGGGTGGGGCTAGCCAGGCTGCCATTGGAACTGTGGAACTGACTGTTCCCCACAGACTCTGGTGCAGGGGGAAAAAAAGCCTGTAGCTGTATCTACAGGGCCTGTTGTTGTTGCTGCGGTGTGTTACAACACAGCCTGGCAGCCTCCCCTGCCTTTCTGTCTTCCTCCTGGAAGAGCCTGGTCCCAGAGCATGTGACTTGTCCACATAGCTCTCTGCAGTTTGCCCACACTGCTCCTTGATGTTCCTTCAATTACTAGGCTTTTCCAGGTCTGCATGCTTTTTACTCATGCTACTGCCTCCCGCCCAGGAGTCCTTTCCTTCCTCATCCACCCTTGTGTCTGACCTACTCCATCTTTTAAAACTCAGCTCTACTGCCAGGTGACCTCTTCAACGAAGCCTTCCCTGCCTCGCCTATGCAGACATCTGTCAGAACCCCTATAACTTGAGGAAAACTGACATACCATGTGGATGTTGCTGTCTCCTAGGCTGAATATTTTGAGGGCTGGGACAATGTCTTCCCACCTCTGTATACCCTGTACATAGCATAGTGCTTAATACCGCCTGTTATTAAGCATGGTTGATGCTTAATCAACTGGCATTAGTACGCGGAGTAGTTTTGGTCTATGTGGTCTTGCTGAATTAATGCATGAATAAATTGTTTCAGTGACTCTCCGTGGCAGCTGGTAAAAAGGGAGGCTTCTAGGCACTGAGAATAGACAGATGACTGAGACAGAGCCCCTGACCTTCAGTTTTGGCTTTATTTGGCTTTTTTGCAGACACCACCTCTCGAAGGCAGCATGGTGATTTGTGCAAGAGGCTTTTCATAAATACTTAAGTGTGATATAGTGCAAAGAGAACAGTTTTGGAGCCAGGAGACATGAGTTCCAATCTGGCTATGGGACACCAGGTTTCCATAGGTAACTATTATGTCACATAGTTAACTAGTTATGGGATTTTAGGTTTCTGTTTCCTCAAAAATGAGAGGATTGAGCTAGAGATTCTCTAAGGCCCAGGTGCTCCCAGGTGGGAGTGACTCAGAGGTGGTCATCTAGGTGGAAGCAGGGGGCCCATCTTGAAGTTGTGTTGGCTCAGGAGTCTCCCCTTTGGAGTTGGAGGAGAACACAGCCGTTTTCAGGGCCCTTTCCTGTCTTAATCGCCTGGGCTCTCATATTTGAAAGATAGATAGTCATGGGAAAGCCAGGTCGTCACAGTCACTGGGTGTCCAGAGGGAGGTGCTATGTGCTAAATTGGTTCTGCGATTCCCCAGTCCTAACTGGGCATCTTTGACGTCCCGGGGTTGCTTCCTAAGGCTAACCCCGAGGCACAAACAGCCCGGCCTGCCCCTCCGCAGCCTCAGGGCAGGCCTGGTGGGCGGACAAGCGGGGCAGAGCCTTCAGGGGGACCACACAGACGTGAAGCCAACTAGCTTGTTTAGGTATTAGTTTCTCAGGAGGCAAGGGGGGGTTGTGAGGGGAGGTCGCTCAGCTTCCTCCATCCCTTTTCTAAGGCCCCCACAAAGAGCAAGGGCCAGACACGTGGGCAGGCGTGGGGAGGCGGGGAAGCAAATGAGCGGGGGCGGGGCCTCATTTCCTTGGACGGCACGCGGCCACCAATCCGGACAGGCAGAGCGACAGCCCGCGCGCCTTTTGGGGGCGGACTGACAGCCCCGGGGCCCTATGGAAAGCGGGTCCTGCGGCCGGTGGGGGCGGGACAGCGCCGGGCGCTGCCCGGGGGATTCGGGCCGGCACACGGGCGCTGCCAGTCTTGGGCGGCGGTGTCCAGCGCGCGGGCGGCCTGCTGGGCGGGCTGACGGGGAGCGGCGCGCGGGCCAGGCGGAGAGACACGGAGCCGGCGAGCCCCGCGGCGACAGGTACCGGCGCCATGGCCGCAGGGATGGGGCGGCGGGCCGCGCGCCCCGGGAACCGAATTCCCTCCTTCGCGGTCCCGCCGCGGCCGCGCCGCCTCCCCGCCCCCTCACGCGGCTCCCCTGCCCGGGAGCGGCGCGTCGGGCGCGGAAGCCTCGCGGTGGGCGCGCCGGGGCCTCGGACCCGCCGCGGAGCCCCTCGCCGCGCCGCCTGGGCCGCGGGGCCGGCGCTCCCTGCGGGAGGCGCGGAGCCGGGTGGCCGCGGGAGCCCTCCCCGCCCCGCCGCGCTCCCCCTCGCGGAGGCGAGGCCGGTCGCGCCCGCTCGTCCTCACTCGGCTTTTGTTTCCCGCCCGGGTGACAGGTCCCGCCCGGGCTCTCGTCTGCGGCCCCCGCCTCGCCCGAGGCCCGCTGCTCGGGGACCGCGGCCGCCCGGGGCAGGCGGCGGGACCCTCGGAGAGCCGGCGGCGTCCGGGCAGCGCTGCCGCGGCGGGAGCGAAACTTCGCTTCCCAGGCCCGGGCGGCGGGAGAACTCGAGCCCGGCTGCGCCGAGCCGGGACGCCGCGGACGCGGGCAGACGCGCGCACCTGGCGGGCCGGCGGGCGCGGATAACGGAGCCGCCGGCGCTGCCCGCCTGCTCGGCGGCCGCGCTGAGGATGGGCGTTCCCCGCCTCACCTGCGCCCTGGGACTGGACCGGGAGCGCCGCCGCGCTCGGCCACTTGTTGAGGGCGTCCGTGCCGCGCCGTTCCGTGATCCTTCCCGTGCCGGGTAAAAGCCGGCTGAAAGTTGTTTTAGGGCTCCCAGTTTAGTCCCGGGACGTTAAAACAGCTTCCGCTTTACTGACCGTCTAAAAAGGTGGGCTGGCGACAGTATGCGAGTCAAAAATCGGCATTGCTAAAAATAAAAAAATATTGGGGGATCAGGGCGTAGATCGCCTTTTCTCAATTAACGAGCCAGGAGGAACATTTTAGTCTCATTTCCAAAATCGTTTTCTGCAGTGCTGGCAAAAGCATGGCAAGGTACAAGTTGTAAGTGGAGAATGCAGAACTCCAGATATCCTTCAGTGTGGTTCAGGACACACTGTACAGCGTTTGGCCGCCATTCAGTAAATTCTGCATGAAGCAGTTTGAGCTGGTGGTTTTGGATTTACTTTTCAAGAGTATGTTTTCCAGTGGAATAAGGCTTAGCATTGAATGGGAGCTTTCTTCGCCTCTCTGAGGATAGACAGGAGTGTTTATTTTCATTGTCTTACCATTTTGTTAGATTGTGGCCAAGGGAAAAGTTAAACCATATTTTGGTTAAGTATTTTTAATAGTCTGGGAGTTCTGTCCCCCTCCCCTCATCAGGGTTTCTTGCAGAATTATAGTAGCCGCTTGAATTAAAAATCAAGGATTGACTTGTAGATACTTTTATTCTGGTGGGAAATTTTTATTCTGTCTACTTTCATTTACAATTTTCTGTCTGTCTCTCTCCCAGATGACTTCTGCTTAACAATCTACAATTACGGCCCTGACCAATTTAGGGACTCTATAGAAAGATATAGGGATTCTGTATTTTTAAAATACGTTTTTAAGACGAAAGTTATTTATAACACATCATTCGTGAGAAACATTTAATTTAGTTTACTAAATTTTTTTCTTCTAATGAGTCGTCGTTTGATATTTGTATTGGATATGATTAATACTTCAGAGATAAAGTTTAACTTAAGAATATAGTTACTCATTTTGACTCAATTATGCTAATTATTAGTGGCTCATTGAATGGTCATTTTATTTATTTTGCTAATTAGAGTTAGCTAATAGCTAATACAAGTTCACCTTAATAAGAGTTCACGGTTGAAAGGTGAACTCTTTAACCAGTAATTGTGATTATTTGAGATTTTTTTTTAAATCAAAGATGGCCTTAAAAATTACTTTATTTCTCTGAAACAACAAGCTTATGTTATGAGGCCTTTCTCTTTCCAACATTTAATAAAACAAGTATGTTTACAAATCTCATTTTTTTAGTTATTGAAATTTTGGGTGAATTATTTTTAGACATAATTTTGATCAGTTTAACATGAAAAACTTAAAATATTTATTAGGCAATAATTAAATCTTCGATTTTCTGTTTATTCTTGGATTAGAAAAGATTGTATATTTGGGGTTTAGTTTTCTAAGGGCTTCTCAGCTTAGAGTGAATTAGTGCAGAGAAGACAGAACATCCTTTTTGTATAGCTGTAGAAGTTATTGCTGTTAAAAGCTGAGTTGGCTTTTTTTTTTGCGAGTCAGTCTCACTCTGTTGCTCGGGCTAGAGTGCTGTGGCGTCAGCCTAGTTCACAGCAACCTCAAACTCTTAGACTCAGGAGATCCTCCTGCCTCAGTCTCCCCAGTAGCTGGGACTACAGGCATGTGCCACCATGCCCGGCTAATTTTTTCTATATATTTTTAGTTGTCAAAGTAATTTCTTTCTATTATTTTAGTAGGGACAGGGTCTCGCTCTTGCTCAGGTTGGTTTCAAACTCCTGACCTTGAGGGATCCACCCGTTCGGCCTCCCAGAGTGCTAGGATTACAGGCTTGAGCCACCAGTGCCTGCCTAAGTTGGCTTTTTGATGCTTAGTGAGAGGGTAGATTGGTTGAACAATGACTCATCCTCATGTAGAGTGGGTTTATTCTATATAAATAGTTGTAAGGAATCTTATAAGACTGGGGCTTTCATTGTTGTAGCTCATTTATATAATTGCTCTTTAGTGTACAGGAATATATTAACTACTATTTGTAATTAGGGAATTTATAATCCTTATCTTTTGATGATGAGTAAGCATGCCACACACATATCATAAAGTTATATTTTTGTGTAAACTTATGTACACAAAAGCCCATTTTAAACTTCAGTTTTTAGATATTTTAATTACTGGTTTTTATGTACTTTAACTTGTGGTAGATCATATCATAAAATTATCAACCACATTTCAGTTTCAAAATTAAGCATAAGCTGAATTCTCACACTACACAATAAACATTGGGGAGTGTGTTTAAGTCGTTTACCCTCAGGTACAGCACTATTTGCGTTTAGGGATGTGGGTATAAATATTTTTAAATGAATAAAGCTACAAAACCCAGAGACATATTAAAACAGTTAAATTCGAGGATAGATCAAATGACACTATTATAAACATTATTACTGCTTTAATAGTAATATGTATATTGTACCTGGCATTAAGAATATCCTCTATAGGCCTTTAATGTAATGTTTCACAATTCCTAAAGAAGATTATGTATTGTACATATTTTGGCACACTTAATTCTGTAATAAATTTATGCTGAACAATTAAATATCTACATTTTATAATTTTGAAACTATGTGACTGTCTTTTTTTTTTTTTGGAGATAGTGTCACACTTTGTTGCTCAGGCTAGAGTGAGTGCCGAGGTGTCAGCCTAGCTCACAGCAACCTCAAACTCCTGGGCTCAAGCGATCCTGCCTCAGCCTCCCAAGTAGCTGGGACTACAGGCATGCGCCACCATGCCCAGCTAATTTTTTCTATATATATTAGTTGGCCAATTAATTTCTTTGTATTTATAGTAGAGACGGGGTCTCACTCTTGCTCAGGCTGGTTTTGAACTCCTGACCTCGAGCAAATCGCCCGCCTCGGCCTCCCAGAGAGCTAGGATTACAGGCGTGAGCCACCGCGCCCGGCCTATAATACATTTTAAAATTCTTACATTGCATCCCCAAAAGTGTAAAGAAAATTAAATCTATACTCATCTGAGATTGGGTGGATGATGGTATGTAAATCACATAACTATTGACTTAAAAAATAACCACTTAAATGATCTAATTTTTGATTTAATTTTAAATAAGGTGTTTATGTGTAAAAGACAGTGCTGCCAAATGAGACAGGTTAAAATAATTTATAGTAGGGCTGTATTCACCAACAGGTTGTAGCTAACTGATTAACAAGGATATTTTAGCAATATTTAGAATGCTTAAATTCCAGTACTCAAAATAATTTGCACCTCTTAGAGTACTTTATTATGAGAATTGACCTACATTTTATGCTTTATTCAGTATTTACTTGTAGTCTTTTGGAAGACTTTTGGTTAATGAGAGTAAAGGACCACCAGAGGGAGTGTGGGGTTTATATGTTCGGTGTACTTGTTTTTTACTTGGTCTGGAAGCAAAACGTTTTAAAAATAAGAATAAAATTTTATTTTCGTTCTTTAAAACAATCAGGCAAAAGATACTGAAGTTGGTGATTGTAACTGTTTGGAGTTGCAGTCATTTTTATAATCAAAATCCAGGCTTAATCAAGGCTGTTTTTCTTTTAGAAAAAGGTACAATTATTAGAAAAATGAAAATGATGTATTTTCAGAGTGAAATAGTGGGTTTTTCAGTAAACAGTTGCATGTCTGTGAAGGTAAGGGAACAACCAAATGTTAAGGCTGTTTTTTAAGATTAAAAATGTAGTACATTTGAATTGTATGTTTTTGAAATTGCTCATTTTTTGGAAGGAGGAATAGAAGAGAAAGAAAGATCAAGACTAGAAAAGGGTTGTTTTTTCCCATTTGTAGTTGCAAACCTTTCCTAAGCGGGCAGTGGTAAATTTCCAGAATCATTTGTAGCATTCTGCTTCAATCTTGGCAATTTATAGATGATGCTAAATGACAGTGGTCAATCTGATTATCGAAAGCAGGGTTGCGAATTTCAAATACATCTCTTCAAACATCAGATTTGTGTGTGGTTTCTTAATGTTCCTATCTCTGAAAATTAAAGTACCTCCTTTTTTGTCAGCTGAATATTACAGTGGAATTTGAAAGTCACAATATCTCAAGCATAGAACTTAATGCTGCAGTAAGGTACTTTTGGGAATGGAGGAAACATCCTAGAGATTGAGTCTTTATCAGAATATATTCTGAGTGAGCATGGAATGTTCTTTACCCACGTTAAATATTAACCAATGAAATTATTTTCATATTTAACTTTTTTTTAAAAAAAGCAAGACAATAAAACAGTCTTATAATCTTAA